CCTGAGAGGAAAGACGTGCGTGAACACGAAGGTGGCGGGTGAAATGCTGATGAGGCGGCGCTTAGAGACACTGCGAGCTTTGGTGGAGGAGTATACACTGACTATGACTGTGACGTTGGTAAAATCTTGTCAGAACCGCGCTGACAGCCTCACCAGAGTGCCGCAATGCTGGTTAGAGATGCACAAGAAAGGAGGAGAACTGGTGCAAGTGAGTTGTGCCACTGCAATGAGCCAGTTGAACAAACGTAAGGTGACCCACATCCACCAGCAGAGTAGGCACCCGGGTGTTAAAAGAACAATGTACTTTGTTAGGACCGTAGATCCAACGGTGTCTAAGGAACTGATAAAATCTGGTGTTAGAACCTGCGAAGCCTGCCAATCAATCGATCCAGCACCAGTGCATTGGAAAAAAGGAAATTTGAGTGTGAGAAGAAACTAGAGCAGGTTAGCAATGGACGTGACCCATTAGCCATTTTCTTACACTCATTGATTGTGTTGCCTCCTGTTTTGCTGTATGGCGGCTACTGAGACGGCAAGACTCTGCTGGTGTCATTCGTCAGCTGGAGACAGTCTTCTACAAATGAGGCCCACCGACTGAAATACTGACTGACAATGACACCACGTTCACTTGCAGACAATTTAAGGAATTTGTAAGCAGCTGGGGCGTGCATTTAAGGTTCCAGTGTGCTTACGTGCCATCTGGAAATGGCATTGTGGAACGCAACCACAGAAGCGTCAAAACCATAGCGGCCAGGAAAAATTGTTCAGTCTTGGAAGCGGTCTACTGGCATAACATCACACCCAAGGACAACCTTTCACCTTCCACAGCACCGGCTGATGTACTGCACACATACCACGTCCGGGTGAGAGGCATTGACTCGACGCCCCTACCTGAATCACAAATAACCGAATGGGGAATACAAGAAAGGGGACATTGTCTGGGTTAAGACTCCATGTAGTAAATGCATGACCAAATTTGGAACTGGACGTGTGACCAAGCTGGTGAGTCAGCAGTCAGTGCGGGTCGATGGAATGCCTCGTCATGTTAGAGATCTGCGCCCTTTTTTGGGCTCAAATACCACACCTGACAAAGAAGACACGGAGGATAGTGAACAGCCTATATACATAGAGTTGGATTCAGCAACCGATCACTCCGATATCAGTAGTTTGCCAATAGATCGGGACGTGTCTAATGAGAGCTCCTCCGATGAAGAAGCTCAACCAATCCCCCTTCGGAGGAGCACCCAGAACAAAAGACTGTATCCGCACTGTCATCTGTGTGATCAGGAGATCGGGGGGAGTGTGGCAGACATGAGACAGAACCTGGGACGAGCACAACTGGTCGCGACTTGCCTTGTCCCCGCCAAAAAAGAGCCTGTATTTGCTTAGCATGTAAAGCTACTGCAGTTGAAATGAGGGAGAAAAAAGCACTTACCACTCTGCCGTAATCCATCCAACGTAAAAGAATGAGGGGGTATTTGCATTGCATTTTTATGCAATAAAGTTGCAATGCATTATGGGACATGGACGCAATGAATTATGGGATCACATGAAGACGCAAGGGATTATGGGTATATGGACAAATATAAAAGCAACTACTTTTTCCCAGTGCGGGGAGTTCTTCAAGTGACGTTCACGGTTGGCAGCTAGAAAAGTCTGTTAGTGCGATTTTTGAGACAGAACTCAAGAAGGAACAACTCGAGGTTGGAATACCAGTTAGGAGAGCTTGAATTTACTCGCTGGTTGCTGTTTTCTTTATTTGCCACAGAAAGACCTAATAAAGCTTATAATTAGAAAAGGGATTTTGCCATTTTATATCATTAACTTTACTAATTTATTTCTTGTATGAATGATTCATTGTAATATAAGTTGAACTGCACCACATATCTGAGATATGCTACTTATATTATATTTTCATACAAGCCTCTTTGGTTGAATAATCTAAATGTGTCTATTTTTATTTTAATCCTCTCAAATTCACGAATCAGTTTTTTAGTGTCTGTATAAAATTACTCCAGATAAAAGTTATAATTATATATACTTTGTTTTTGCCAAGGGATAAAAGAAATTTACTCTTGTTCATAATAATTACTAAGTTTTGCTTCATTTGGTACAAGGCTCATGGATATATCAGGTTGAAGCAATTGTTCTTGTATAATCACAGTTACGCAATGTTGAGTTTGGTCAATATGGGTGACTGTTTAGGAATACCAAGTGCTGTAAGCTTGGATATACAGGTGGTATAATGGATATATATATCTTCATTAACATATCTTTATATCTTCATTAACATATCTTTATATATATGAAGGAAAACGCAAGGATAAAGAAAGAAGGGATCTTTGACATTACAATGAGAAGCTTTGATGGTGCATAGACCTGCGAAATCATAGGTATATATTTACTACATGAAGTAAGCAAAATAATAGATAAAAATGATACATGACTCTAAATGGATGACAGTCCCATAATTTTAAGAAACTACAACAAACAAAACACAGACAAAACTAGAAAAGCAATAATAAGGAATTCTAAAAATAACAAATTTGACATAGATATAAAAACTAACCTAAACAAAGTATATTTTCTAGATGTTACCTTCAACCTAAGAAAAGGTACATATAAACCATACAGAAAACCCAACGATAAACCACTGTACATACACACGTTTTCCAATCATCAGCCTTCAATAATCAAACAGATATCAAAATCAATTAACCGCAGGCTTTCAGACAATTCTTGCAATGAAACCACATTTAACAAAGCTAAGAAAGACTACAGAACAGCCTTAAAAGATAGTGGATTCCCAGCTACACTCCCATACTCACTGCAGAGCACAAAAATGGCCAACAGGAAAAGAAATATCATATGTTTCAACCAACCGTACAGCAAAAGCGTGAAAACAAATGTAGGTAAAATATTCCTCAAACTTTTAAAAGAACACTTCCCTGAATAAAGCACTCCAAAACAAAATATTCAATAAAAACATTGTAAAAATCAGCTACAGTTGCACCAAGAACATGGCAGAAATAATAAAAAAGTACAACAGGAAAACTATCAACAAACCACCGGAACAAATTAAACCCACATGTAACTGTAGAATAAAGAATGAATGTCCCTTAAATGGTAATTGCTTATAAAACAATGTAATATACCAAGCCATGGCAAAATCACCAGATAATGAAGTAAAAGTATACATAGGAGTAACTGAAGGACCTGGAAACAAATAAACTATGCACACAAAACATCTTTCACAAATAGTAAATACATGAACAACACAATGCTTTCCAAGTATATCTGGGAAATTAAAAGCAAAACACAAGTTACACAAAAAATATCATGGAAAATAAGGAAAAGATCATCAGCCTACAACAATCAATCCAAAACCTGCAAACTTTGCTTGGAGGAAAAAATAGTTATTATTACCTTCCCGGACCAAAATAAATTACTAAATAAATGATCTGAGCTCATCTCAAAATGCAGACATGAAAACAAATTTTTAGTACATTACTTAAAAATCAAAAACTGAAATGAATAAACACAAATAAACAAAATAATATAAAAAACAAGTAAAATAACCCAAACAGTTAATAAACAAATTAACAAACAACTCCCATTAGAATAGATGAAATAGAATAAATAAAAATAAAAAATAAAGTACATAAAAAACAAGTAAAAATAATCAACCCAAATAAATAAATATAGTAAATAATAATAAATTAACAAACCAATCCCTCCAAAATAACCATTAGAATAGACAACATCAATCAATCCAAAAATTGGATCTAAAAATAGCCATAACTGCTATATAACAATAAAAAAACATTATTACATTACTGAAAAATCGAAAACCAAATAGAGTAAATAAAAATATAGAAAATAAAAAATAAGTAAATAAATAAGAAAAAACAAATAAAAATTAATCCAAATAAATAAATAAATGAACAAATCACAAATAAGCAAAAACGAGTAAAAATAATCAATCCAAATAAATAAATAAATAATAAACTAATTAAAAACTGTCCCCCGCCAAAATAACAGAATAGAATTGGGCAAATAAAAAGCTTTATCTTCCCAGACCAAAACAAACTATTAAATAAGCGACCAAAGCAAATCACCCACCCAATTTTTTTACTACATTAATAAAACATTGAAAAGCGAAAAGAATAAATGAATATATAAAATAAAAAATGAAAAACAAGTAAAATAAATTAAATAAGTAAAACAAATAAATAAACAAGCCACTCCTGCCAAAATAACCACCAGAATGGACTACCCACAATGCACCACTGACCCATATATGTAAATAGTCGAGAAAAAATCCAACATTTGCAGCCTGACAATGGCGCCTAGCTTGAAATAGCCTGTCGCCTCTGAGTGTTGACTTCAATGTTCACACACACACACACACGCACATATATATATATATATATATATAGTAAAATATGAAAATGCTTTTATTTTATACCACAGATGATTAGTGTTCAACATAACCTCTTATCTATGCATTAAATTCACTGGTGAATATGAATCACACAGATCAAAATTTTAGCTAATAGCAAAATGTGTGGCTATGATTTTACTCATTTATTCTCAAATATATTATTGAAGGAGAGTATGAATGAAACTTTTTCTTGGCTGCTTTTTCCAAAGAGAAGTTTATTTTCCTTATTTCTAAACTAGACTGATTTTCTTGTGTTAAAATGTTGAGGTGAAACTGTGTTATTCTATAAAACATTCAACATACTTGGTAATGAAACTGACCTGAGGGAACTAATTCAAATAATCTCTGAAATAATGTATATTTTATGTTCCTTTGAAATCATTAAATTTTCTTGTTGCTTTCAGTTGATTATTTCATTATTCAACAAGTTTTCTTTTCATCTTTGTATGACACATTTTTATTTAGACCTTTGCTATAACAACCAAATTTCCTTGCCTGCTTTTTATTTATGCAATCTTTATGCTATTTGTCTATGGTGTTTTTTGTCTATCTGTAGGAATCGGCATCATGAATTGTTAATGGGTCTTAAGTCAACAGTGGAGGGATTGCTGGCAACACCAACAAGTAATGTATGGAGCACATATGGAGGATTGGATAGAGTGTGCCTTCAGTTGGAAAAGATATTCACCCATCGGCTTTTGGTAAGTACTTAATCAGATTGAATTTGTCTCTTCATTTCAACTAATATCCTCATCATTTTGCTTGTGAAATGAACATACAAGGTCTGTCTGAAAAGTAAAGGGATTTGTCTGTTCTTATGAGAGGCATCATCCACAGTGAGTTCTTGCCACAGGTCAATCAGCAAGTCTGTAAAGAGATCCTGTGGTATTTGATTCACTTAGTGCATGTGAAGAGACAAGAGTTGTGGCCATAAAAATCGTGGCTGCTTCACCACAACAATGCACCTGCTCACAACACCCTGAACATTCAGCAGTTCCTGGGTAAGAAGAACATCACCATACTGGAACAACAACCTTATTCTCCTGATCTTGCTCCATTTGACTTTTCTTTTCCCCAAGCTCAAGTGGATTATCAAGGGGTCCCATTTTGAAGGTGTGGAGGCTATCAAGAGGGTCATAACAATAGAACTGAGGGACATCCAAAAAGAATCCTTTCAGTAGTGTATAGAAGCATGGCAGAGAAGGATGGAAAAGTGCATTACTCGACGGGGGATTACTTTGAAATTTGGAGTTGAAATAAATTGTTTTTGACAACAGTCCTGTTACTTTTCAGACATGCTTTGTATATTTTATAAAGAGTTATAAATTCATAACATTTGAATTTTTGATTTATAGAATTACTAAATAAAAATAAAAAATTAAGACGGCTTAAGATTAAATGAGTTATTCCTTTTTATTATTCTGATTTAATGCCTCTTGTTTTTTTTTTTAATCAATTTTAGAATCAGGTTGAAATATAGCTATATACGTTTTTAGTTTTTTTTGTTTTTTTTTTGTTTTGTTTTTTGTACTGCTATAGTTCAATCTTCAGTTATTTCTATCCTGGACAACTAACTTGAAGTTAGTATGAGGCACATTGACAGCTGAGAGGTTACACTTTAGCTTGTCTTTATGCCTGAGCCACAACCATCCAATTGTCCTTAGTCCACTGCCAAGATGGATATACATAAGGAACTTAGGTATTCTGTCGTCACTCATCCTTGTAACATGACCAGCCTAGCAAAATTGTGACTGCATCAGGAAAGTCTCAATTTCATCAATGTTGCATTTTGCTACAGGATCAGCTTTGGATATCCTATCATCAAAAGTATAGTCACAGATCACACAGAAACAACTTCTGTGGAAGACATCCAACTGATTTTATATATATATATATATATATATATATATATATTTGGGCATCAATCCTTTTATACAAGTTTCATTAAAAACAACTGACAAGGTACTGTGGTTAAGATTTTTATTTATGGTCATAGAAGGAGACTTTAGTTGTGCAGGCATGCAATGTTTTTTTTGTTTTTTTCTTTTTATTGCTATTGCAATAGTTACAACGATATTTTAACAAAACTCAAAACTGCTGCAAAAGAATTAAAAACCAATTCTAATATCATCATCATCATCATCATCATCATCATCATCAGATGATGATGAGTGGATAAAGCATATGTAATTTTTGACAAATTTCAATTATTATAAAAAATTACAACATTTCATTGATGATCGATCTAAATTTACAAAATTAAATAAAAACGCCAAAGAAACTGTAAAAAAATCTGTTAACAAACTTATAACATGAAACAATGCTGATGTCGGTTCCTTGAAGATCAACAAAATCATTGGAAATTACCAACCAGAATAGAAATGTTAAAATACACAAACCCAGATATCCATTACGACCTATCATTTCACAGATCCAAACATCTATTTAACAATTGTCAAAATTCCTCAATGATATCATTACTTCACATCTATCTACCAATTATAGCATCAAATCAATTCATGAATTTATCCAAATCCTTAAAACTACACAACCAAACCAAGGCATTCTAGTGTTCCGTGTAGAAAATTTATTTACAAATGTCCCTGTCAATGAAACTATCCTTAACTCTGTATATAAAAATAATTTTTAATTCCACCTCCATCTATCAAACCTAATATTCTCAAAAAAATATCTTATACCTGCACAGCTAAAGTCCCCTTCAATGACCATGAATAAAAAAAACTTTACAACAGTACCTTGTCAATTATTTTTAATGAAACTTTATATATATATATATATATATATATATATCCGTGGGTAAGTAATCCAAGTAGATCTTATTAATATAAAATATTAAAACTGATCCACAAAAGAAAGCTCAATATGATTTTTATTATAGAGCATATAATATATATACAATTAATGAGATCCAAACATTTTACCTCATACACATGATCATTTTGTCCATGGGAAAGTTGTTTTCCCCTGGACTTATCAAGCAAATACATTTACTAAAATGAATAAATTCCCATGTTTATTCACAAGAAATTTGAAAGGCAAAGGAAGGAAAGAAAGAAAAAAGAAAAAGGAAAGAATAAAAGGAGAGCGAGTAACAATTGGCCTATAATAGAGGAAAGAGTTATATAGATATAGAGCGGTAAGGGGCCTAATGTGGTTGTGGTGGAGTCTGTATAGATAGACACAATGGTTGAAAATGGACACTGACTTAAATGTAACCTAACAACAAGGTAGAAGAATGAACAAAAAAAAGGGGGGGGCATAAAGAATTTCAAAGAGGAGTTTAAAATATTATAGAATGGGAGTAAGAATTTAAAATTAATACTTTTATGAAAAAATGTTAATATAAATCCATTCAATACTATATAGTAAAAGATACAGTAAAAAAAATTAAATAAATTATTAATATATTAATTTAAATATAACCAATCTCATTATATCAATATAATATTAATAAAGTTTCAAATACTAAGTTTATAATTTAAATTATATCATACTTATACTAATTATTTAAAAATTCTGTAAAGAATTAAATTTAAATTCAATATATAAAAAAATTTAGTATTATAATAAGATAGTCAAGAAGAAAACCAAAGGAAAGATAGAAGAATATAAAGGAATTAAAAATCTCATAGGCCTAAGTAATGTATGTGAAAAATAGTAGAGTTAATGGAGGAAAAACAATTAAATATAGAAGAAAATTCCACATATAGAAAACATTTAACAGGGAGAGAAATATTTAAATATAGAAGGAAATTCCACATCTTGAAAACAATTTCACATATAGAAAAAATTTTAAATATAAAAATATAAATGAGAGAAGTGTGAGGTTTGGCTGATATTATGTTAGTTGAAATTTTTGCTAATTTGTCCTTGAGGATTTTATAGTATTTAGGAGGATCACATTGCTATTTTGTTCTTTTAACATAGTATCAGCTGAACCTCCTATTTCCCCTAAAATAGGCCAGCACAGCCAAGTAACAATGCAACAGTGAAAAATGTTACAAATAAAATGAAGACAGTAATATGAAAAACATATGAAATAATAAACATATGATCAATAAGAATCCTGAGAATCCAGATGTTTAAAGATATTACCAAAAATAATAATTTTATAATCACAATGTTCTTAGAAGGATCTCATCACCTACATGTGAGCATTGTTCTTCCATAGTTTGACATTGTTCTAGTTAAATATTAAAATGCATTTAAGAACTGATATGAACTACAATGAAGAAATTATGTTTTATGAAATAAAATTTTATTGAATTTGTAAGACTTTTATCAATTGCCACCCATCAATGCAGGAAAGAGCAATAACAGCTGCTAGACTTGAGAAACGTATTTTCCTGAAAAATTGGCTTAAGCAAAAGATTTAAATTTCAACTGATAGTAATATTGACTGCTCAGTTAATAAATGCCAAATGTTTCTTTATAAGGAAACGGCTAATATATCACTTAAGAACAAAACAGACAGAAACAACTAACAGCTCTGAGATAATCTTGCTGCTGAGTATTGTTGTGAAGATTTTTGTCTATTTCGTGCTGAACAGACTGCAGAAAATCACCAAAAGGAATTCCACTCTACTCAGGTAATGCAGTTTTAGATCAAAATACTTCACAATCAATGTTTTTCCTCCAACAGCTACAAGAGAAATGCAGAGAATAAAAATAAACACTATATATTGCTTTCAGTAACCTCATGTATGTATTCGACCTTATAAGCAGAGAAAGTTTATTCAAAATCTTTTGCGACATAGTCCAGATGTTACATGCAAATATAAAAGGCTTCATTCAGTTTGGCATGTTTTCATTGGAAGTTTTCAATATCTTCAGTGGCATGAAGCAGGGCTTTGTGCTTGCTCCACCCTGTTTAATGTCATCTTTGCAGTTATGAAAATTAATTATGAACAACAAGATTGCAGTCTTCAGAGTATGCATCATCAGTACACTCTGCTTTACAACAGTGAGATCTAAAGCCTCTACTCTACACAAGAATGGCACATTAATATTTTCCACCTTCTCAGCCTGAGACTCAACCCAAAAGCCTTAATTTTTGCCCAGATACATATCCTCTTCACCTTGCTGGGTCAGATACATTGCATGCCCAACATGAAGATTGCAAAAGACCTGCTGTATAGGGAACTAGCCATTGACAAGAGCACACAAGAATAACATTGTCTTTGTTTCAAAGACATTTGCAAAAAAAAACATGAAGTATCTGAACCCAGACATTGTGAATGACGACTCTTGAAGGTGGGAATTATATACAGGGCTGAAGCAAGGAGAAGGGAGACCAAGACAGAAAAACAGTAAGAAATAAAAACTGAAAGATAATGTCTTCAAGGGCAATCACTACAACCAAGGCTGTCACTCTCATGTGGGTCTGTACAGCCACAATAGATGCTGAATTACCACAACTTGATTGATTGATTTGTTTTCCATGGCATATCAACCATATAATGCAGGTTAGCTAAAGCCCGAAAATATCTTTTAGATGGTAAGATTTTTTTCTTTAAATTATTTAGTGATACAAATTATACTAATTAACCCATAGCTGGAGGGAGAAGAGGTGGATTCATACCTTTCCCAAAAGTCTTTGTACATAAGTGAAAAGGTCCAACTGTAATTGGTTCTTGGCTCTCCAATTAACAATTCCCAGCTAATTATACATTACACTGCCTGCACATCCAAGCTTACAACACCTGGTATTCCCAAGTGATCACCTATCTAGGTACTGACTAGGTTCAACATTGCTTAACTTCGGTGATTATACAGGAACCAGTGTTTCAACATATAATGTAGCTGGAAACCATCACATCTTGAAAATGGCAGATATCACTTGCTTACTTTGTCCGGCATTCACTGACACATAATCTTCTCACAGATGAAGAAGTGACTTGAGGTAACAAAGACGTGGTTTTTGCTGATGAATGTTTGGAAGAACATGTGATTAAGAGTAAGGTTTAAGAAAAACTGGAACCAGAAAGGAAACTGATACTTATAGTTGGAAAAAGATAGCGCTGACATTTCTCATCAAGAGTGCCTGGAAAATTTAACATTTTTGGGATATTCTGAAAGCAAGAACGGAAAACCAGTGAGTAACCTACTTACTGAGACTGCATGAATGGATGACATAACAAGGACAAAGAAGGATAGGAAATGGTCAAAGGTTACTTAGAGCAATGAAAACAGGAAGTTGTAGAGAGCCATCATCGCCCACATTCTGAAGGGACATGGTACATAAAACAAAAATCTATTCACTTACTTTATAGATAATTTATACATTTCCATTATCATGTCAAAATTTTGTTCATGTTTACAACAGAATGTTTTACGTAAATTAAGAGAAGAAACATTTTTATGCACCCACACATTTATCTCTCTTATACATACATACATATATATATATATATATATATATATATATATATATATATATATATATATATATATATATATACAATACAAGTAAAAGTTACTTAACTGATTGATGATACCTTCAGCATCCCAACTCCAGATTTTTTGTCAACAGACCCTCCAGGAATTACTCCATCCACCTTGTTAGGGAGTATCAACAATTGACTGCATATACTTCTCAATTTTTCTTTTTTTTATATGCAAATTGTAGCTGTTGGAAAAAAAAACATTGATTGTGGAGTATTTGATCTAAAACTACATTACCTGAATAGATTGATATTGGTGCAAGTTGTTTTTTTTTTGTTTGTTTTTTTTTCATAGTGTGTGTTTTTTGCATGTAGAATGTTGCGATTATTTGTCATTTTTGTCAAGTTGTAGTGTTTTCTTGAGTTAGGAAAATTGTATTTCATTTTTTTTATATAAATAATATTAATGCTAAAAGAATAAAGTAAATATTTATATATGTCTTGGGCATTATTTCATTTTTAAGGATTTTTGTTTTATTCTTTTTTTCTTTTCCATAATTTTAGGGTATTAATTATAGGTGGTCATGTTTATGGAGTATTTTCTTTGTCATTTGAATATATGTATATAGAGTATATAACATGACCGCCATGAAAAGACAGAATTTGTTTTTATTATCACTCATGATGATAATAGATAAAAAGTAAAATTGAAAAACAGGCTAGCTAACCAGTTTCAAACCTCACTCAACAGAGCTAAATCGAGGTTAATAAATAGAAATATCACTAAAAAGAGATGGACAGTATGTATTAGGGGAGAGGAAAAAAAAATATTGCTTAGATGGAAATTAGTTGGAGTCCCATTTACACAGAGAGGGCTTCAATGATAAAATATTAGCTAGCTCATTTTTCAGTTTTACTTTTTATCTATTATCATCATGAGTGATAATAAAAAATAAATTTTATCATGGTGGTCATAAAATTTTGTACCACAAGCCATATCTTTAAGTATATAACATATACACACACACACTTTTATGGTATGTTATATTTATGGGTTAATGTGCTCAATATCAGAGATAGCGTGTATGAAAATATAAAAGATAGCCTTAAGATTGTATGTGAGCATGAAACAGTGTTGTTGCTCTGTGTGCATATATATATATATATATATATATATATATTACAGATAAAAATATAAGTGTAAAAAGTTTTCATGTGGACACATTTCATCCCCCTATCACTTCATTGGGCTAAATGAATGGTTAATGGTTGATGCAACTACACATTTATATGAAGTGAAGGTGTCACTGTGAATTTTATATTTAAATGTTTTTAGTATATGTGTTTGGGTCTATAATCTAACCGATTTCATTTAGATTCTTTCTTTTTTTTATGTTTCTATCACTTTTGTAATGATGTAATAATTGCCACAAGGAATACAAGAGAAATCTCAAGAGATTTAAATAAGAGATTATATGAACACAAAATGGATCCGTTACAAAACAACACACTAAATGAATTAGTTGATCACCATAATGAGAATGACGACAATTTAGATTTAAAAAGTGCTACTCTAATTAAAAGAGAAAACAATTTACTAAGACAAAAATGTTTAGAAAGTGGTTTTATTGCGAGACCATCCAGAGGAAATTTGTGTCTAGGTTCCTACAACATTTTTGGCAGATCTTCTATTATCACAATATGGGATATTTAACAATTAAGACAATGGAAATTAAATAAAATCAGGTAGATATATATAATCAAAACATATAAAAAAAAAAATTTAACTTAACATTCTCAGTGTCCCCTTTTCCCTCTTGTACATATGCAGTCGCATTAATGTAAACATCAGTTTAATCCAATGATGTCCTAAAGTTTTTCCACTTTATAGATAATTTTCCCCCATGAAATTATTCCTTATATATAACAGAATTATATATTGTGTTCATGTATATGTCTGTATTTTTTCATTGTTCTACATTTAAATATTATATCCTGTATTAAAAATACAAACATTAAATTTCCAACTAAATGATTTGCCTACTTAAAATAAAAATTCAAGTAGCAAAAATAAAACAATTCAAATGAATCCTTTAAGAACTGAATATATTGGCTACTCCTATTTTCAAATGTTAGTAGTCATTAAATTTAATTGTTTTAGTTGACAATAGATAATCTCAACATGAAAATTTCTTTCAGAAGTTGAAATGTGAAGTTGAAACTTGTAATCTTTTAGAATTATAAAAGTGACTTAGTTTCACATATTTGTTCTAAATTTAACAGAAACTTGATCTTAAGTAAAAACTTAATTCCCTTGAGTGTACTTTTCTATTTGTAAATAGTTAAAAACACTGAACTAATTTTTAGAAACTGCTAGAATTATATGATTACTAGCTTAAATACACCAATACTACTTATAGAAAATTTTTTTAGTTGGCAAGTCTTAGTGTCTCTAATAAGAAATTATATCTTGTCTTTGTTGGACAGGATTTCTATTAAGAATCAATTTTGATAAAAGCAAGTAAAGTGAAGTTATTACCTGAAATACTCAATTGAAAAATAACTAAGTTATGGATATAATAGAATTAAGTTGTTTGCTCAGGTAAATTATGAAATTAATGATAAAGAGATTGACATCAATACAAGTTTAAAATAACACTTACTGAACAGTAAATTGTACATTTTTTACTACCATTATTTTCTGTTGCAAAATTTTATCATGTTTGTTTGAATTCATCTCTAAACCAAAACTGTATTAAAAACGGGATAGTAAAACTGGGTCAACAGAGGCTTCAAAATTTAATTCAGAGGTCCAAAGCCTTCAGAGGTTATTGTTGTGTTGGAATGCATCACAAAAAAATAAATGACTTTGTCTCTTCCTCTCCTGCTGTCGTAGCGACGGACATGTTAGCCGGTGCTGTTGTAGGCGAAACACTGGCTTTAGGCGTCGCATTATACCAATAGACTGCTTCGGGGATCGAACATCGCTTCCTGGCTGCAATCACTTTTATAGACCGGTGACTCCTTTCTACTATGCCGTTTCCCGCCGGCATATAGGCGCACCGGAACCAAAGCTGCACACCCCACTTCTTTAAGAACTGCGAGAATTGCTCTGAAGAAAACGCCGCACCATTATCCGTCAATATTTCTGCAGGTGGCCCCCGGTCGTAAAAGATGGACTCCAATTGACGTATTATGCTGGCAGTGTCCTGCCGGTGCAGTAGTCGCCAAATGGCAAAGCGAGAGGGTCCACAGTCAATGATAGTCAAATAGTGCTGGCTGCCAACATGCGTAACATCTATCCCCAGCCTGTTCCAAACATGGGTAGTACTCAAATTTCCTTTTTGCCATTGCACCAGTGCCGGGTCAATTGACTGGCACGCCTCGCACCTCTGCACTACTGTCCTAACATCCGTCTTTTTGACTGCCAGGTTGACCATCATCGAGAAGTAGAGCATCCATTTAATCCCAGGATGCTCACACTGTTCATGTGTGCTCATGATCCGCTCGAGGTCCATACTGAGCGCAGAAGCCGTACACGGCAGCTGCAGAGGTTCAGACTCTTTCCGAGAAGCAGCCAACCAACGTTGCGGAACACGAGTCAATGCATCTGCCCTGTTGACTGCCGATTTAACTAACACTACATCCACAGACAGGTTGTACTCTATGATAATTTCAATCAGCGTGGTGAGCCGCCTTCGTATCAAGATCTCGCTCGATGCCTTGGTGGTCAGTCGCGCTCTTCCACTAAGTGCATCTGATATCCAACGCTGAGTGCATGCTGAGTCCGTGACAATGTGTAGCACTGTTGCTTTGCCATTGGAGTGCCAGGTTAACCTCCTTCAAAGTGACGTTTAGTTCAGCCAGGTTTGTGTCGTGCATCATTTTCAGGTCGTAACCAGAAGGCGTCTTCTATGATGGACCTGTTATCCTCAAGGGCGACAACCATAACCAACAAGCTGGCATCCACCCAAACGGTGAGCTTGTTCCCTTTAACGCACCAGTCACCTCGCACGAGATCGTCTTGCATCACTCTCTCCATGGTTTCAGTTATCATGCATCTTAGGGTAACATCGTGCACCTCATCATCCCATCCTGACGAAACAGAAGTTACGCGGCGCTTTATGGCTGCTGCCACCACTCTGAGCCAACCGCATACAGGAAAATGGCCTACCAGTTTCCCACACATAGAGAAGGTGCTCCAACGAGTGATCACTGGCGGGACTTCCGGGACATCACTACCTCACTTCCAGCAAAGTTTTTCTCCATCACTACTGACGTGTAGTCCAAGTACATTTGCTCCATCCTGTAGCGGCTCTGGGGCCTTGCACACCAAGCCAAAGCGCTCCAGATGTTCCTTAACCCTCATTGAAGAGGCCACGTTTTCATTGACATAAACATCGTCAA